ACGCTGATTTGCACTGGGGGTTAAGAAACGGTACAACCCAAAACTCCCTGCAGTTTCAGCCTAAACACACAGATACTTTCCAGGGCCAGAAGAAAGACCTGGGGTTTTGTACCACCTGGACTTTATCCCTGAACACGCCACTGGTTCAGCCTGGGCAGCCTGAGGAGGCAGCTAGCCCAGAGGAAGAGTTACATGTTGCCTAAGGAGGCAGCCCCATTTCCCCGTCCCTGTCCCTTTACCACAGGCTCTCACTACTTCTCTTGCACTGGGATTTGCATTTCTCATAAAAGCTGCAGAAAGCTAATGCTACCCCACCTAAAGCAATGAGTTTTCTACCATTGTAACTATCTGATCCGGCTCAGGGTCAGGCAAGCGCTGCCACCACTGCAATGGAAGAGCTGGGAGAGCTACGGGGGACAGCGGCAGCCCCGACGATGGACAAGGCCATGCCAGGGTTTTAAAAACGCTGCTTAACAGCTGCTGTGCTTTTATTCTATTTTATACTATGTCATGGGAAGGTTGTTAAAATCAGATATTTATTATACTAATAAAGCCAAAATGTTTTAACTACATGATGGGCTGGTGGCTTTCTCGTGCAAAGGCATTTTAAGCTCACTTTTACAATTTGGAAATGACATAGAATTGTAAAACTGAAGCTCCTCGCTCACTCTTTGAAATCTCATTTATCTGTGATGAGAATAACAACATGACTCTGTGGCTGTGTACTTGTTTTCCTAGCCAGTGAACATACTTCCAAAGGAAATGGTAAAATGCAAACATTTTCATTTCATACTGGGGAAAAAAACCCCTCAAATATACTCTCATGTCTTTTGCCTAAATCTTGTTTGGACAGCTTGCATGGCTCACAATCTTGCTGTTATCACTCCCTCCTCTGAATTAGAGAGAAGGAAGACAAATATAATGCTGCAATATACAGCTTGATACCGAAGAAGATCACTCTGCTGTGACATGTCTCGCACTTCAGCTCTAACACAATGATATGGTTATCTAAGGTTTGAGGAGACTGAACAGCCAGTGATATATTAACACACTTTTCATTTCAGAGATAGTGTCAGGAGCTGAAAAACAACTCCAATTCCCCGTGCCGCTTTGGTTATTTATCCTCCAATATCGGGTGTTTTCTCCCCTCTGATCCCCACACCAGGTTTGTAGGAGCAGCAACACACGTGCCCCGCGCAGGCAGAGCAACGTGAACAGGAGCCAAGCGCTGGGGTTAAGATCTAGTGAGAAAAGCCCAGAGAGGCACTTTTTCTGCAGCTTCAAATATTAACATTATAAAAGACAACTTGCAGCAACTCCTATTTTTAAGTTTCTCAGAGGAGCTCTGAGATCATTTGAAGAAGCCCATTGCCTGTAAGACATTTGACATTCAGAAAGGAGGATGGTCTCTGGCTGCAGAGAGGCAAAAATGTAGATAAAGCTTTTGCCAATGATATCTTGGTCTATTGGAGCAGACATTACGGAATGATAAAATAAACTACCATTTCCTCAGTGTTTTAGCTCTCCAGTGCAAGAGTAGAATTTGCTCCCCAAGAAGGAACTCAACGGTAGGTGAACAAGCATGAGGAGAAAAGCAGCAATGCCTGTTTCAGCTCCTCAATAAGCCACAGGATATGCAGAACTATAAAAAAGAGGGGAAAAAAGAGAGGTGGAAAAGACGCTACTACAAGGATTGAAAGCATTCCAGGAAGGAAGAGGGGCTATCAACACACACATGGAAAAGCCCCTCAGTTAGAACGACATTACTAACCTCATTTTTTTGTATTTGGTCACTAAAAATATTTTTAAGGGAGCATTAAAAAAAGTAAAGACCTGGGCAGATTAAAGCCCACACGTAGCTGTTCCCTCCCACCGAGGCCATTTGTTAATCCCACAGGTCTTGCTGAAGTGAAAAGACAAATACAAGAAAGAAAAGGTGATGGGGAATACACACACTTCATTACAAACCGATACTTAACATTTCTCTTAGTTACAGAGAAGTTTTAGGATGCTGGTGACTAATAAAACTCTGTAATCCTTGGCTGGCTTCAGAAACCCTTGCCATGAGGTCAAAGTCAGGACAAGGTTAGTGCCTTAATAAAAGAGGGGGAATATAGCATCTCTAATGATTGCTTCTGGCTGCTTTTCTCCTTACCTAGAACAATGCCACAGCGCACGTTTGCTTTCTTAAAGTGATGCAGAATTCTTTGCTTTACCTGCTGACAGACCCTCCCTGCCCACCCCCAGACCTAATGGTGGACCTGCAAGATGGATGTTTCATGCTGAAGACCACAAATTTCAGGCTGTCTTCACAGGGAAGTTCAGTGAAGGTGGAAGAATCCTGTTAGCATGTAATTGCATAGTACCTTTAGAAACCTACTATTTATTTTAATGTTACCCACCTGAGGGAGGCTCCGCTAATGAATCTATTTCTGTAGTACCATAAAGGTTGAAGTTTAGAGCTAAGTTTAGAGCAGAGACATATAAAACATGTCACACCAGGAAACAGCTTAATGAAAGCAGAGAGTAATCACAGCAAATTACAGTGAAACTTTTATGGGGATTACATTTTGCATTCCCCAAACAAGCAGAGGAATTCATCTCACTTAGCGCTGTTCCATTTTGCTGAGAATTCACTGTAAGGATATGCTATGTAACTAACATAATACAACGCCATAAAAGCTGTCTTAAAAGTTACAGTCTAAGATGCTTTCAAAATAGAATTCAGATTTCTTCCTGCTGCAGTCCATGGAAAAATAGCAAGATATGCCACAAAATATCACACAGAAAAAGATTTGTGGTAATATTAGGAGGAATACAAGGCACATGCTTTATTTGTGGCTGCTAATAATGAGGTCCCCTTCTGAACTCCTGTTTAGAAACCAACTCACCAGTGGATGCGGCAGGGAAGTTCACCCCAGGAGAAGAATCCCAGTGTGCTTCCAAAAATCACTGCAGAATATAATCTCTCCTCACTGGAAACCCCAGGTTTTGCGCAAGGAGCAACTAGGAACTACCCTGTGGTCAGCACCTCACCTACCTGCCTTGAACACCTCTTCTGAAACAGTATATATACAGTTTGCATATATACTGTATGTAGACCTTCCTCTCCCACCCTGCAGGTTAGCCTTTTTTCACCCAGGCTTTACAGCCCACAGTTGAGTAACAAAAGAAAAGAAATTTCATATCATTTTTTACCATATGTAGTGATTTTCTCTACTTTTCAACAGGTCTTCAACATGAGAATAAACTGGGAACTTTTGACCTCACTCCATTACTATTGCACAGCTCTGGATGGTTAGTTTGGTGAAAAAAACATGTTGACTTTTGGGTAACGTCGCTGTAAATCTCTCAAGGCTAATTCTCGATGACAGCCACTGTAAATACACTGGAACGTGCACAGAGCTGCAGCCTGGCTCTATTAAAGGCAACACTAGATTCAGGAGGACCTTGAACCAGTCCATAATGAGAAACATGAACTAAGATAGGGAAAAAAAAAAAAGAGGAGAAAGAAGCGTGTGAATGGAATATGGTGTATTAACTGTAAGGAGAGGAAATTAAAAAAACCAGAAACATGCCATGTGTCCGCTTAAAATGACCTGTAGATATTTTACATATAAGGTCTATACAATCTGCTAGAGAGCAATTACCTTCAGAGGAGAGGATTTTGCAACAGAAAAAGCCTCTTATGTTCAGCTTTTCAAGAGTTTACAGAAACAGATACAAAAGGGAAAACAAGACTAAATACCCAAGGCTGTACAGTTTAGTACTGTTAAAATTTACTTACCAATGATTTGGTGTTTAAACCCCAAATTATTCCTCCAATTTTTTACATTTTCTACAGCACTAAGCCACAGAGTTGTGCTGTCCTCCCCACTCTGCAAGCTCGGAGGGAGGGACAGGAAAACACACAAAATCTGCCTGAAAGATCTTGCAATCTTTGCCTTGCTGCAAGTGGTGTTGACTGACCAACGTTTTGCTAAAAATTAATGGTGTGCCTTCTTAAAGGATGCTAGATAGAAATATGGCACCTGTGGCTCCCATATTTTCATCTACAAAATCCCAGATAGAGCTAAAACGTACAGTATTTTTAGCATGGCAGTCACAGTCAGCTTTCCACACCACTGCTGGATGCATAGGTTGAAAGTGCAGTGCCTACACAGTGGCCACTTTCCACACACCCCAGCTGGAGAGGCAGAGATGCTCTGAACGGCTGCTGGGCAATACCTGGGTGAGAGGTATTTCTAGGCACGATCCTAACACTGTTACCATAGCAAATCCACACTTATCAGTTGGTACAGTGCCTAAAACAAATTCTGAGACTACTGATTTAAAACTAGATCATCTCATACTAATACCATCCCTGTGCGTTCATGGTTCAGCTTTCCGCAAGTCAATAGATCCCAAACTACTTTCGAACCGAACACCAGCTTTCCCCTGTGGTACAAAATATTTTGAGACTCAAACTGCACAAGGGTTGAGTTGCAATTGCAAGCTGGGCCTTCTACAAAGATCAGCTCAAATGTAGGGTTACAATTAAAAGAACAAGCTCCAAGGCACAGCAGGGACAACACCTCATGCTTCAGACCATGCCCAGCTCCTGCGGCCAGGCACAGCGCAGCAGTGGACCATGGACCAAGTAACTGGTTACTTCCCAGGCTGGGAGCAGGAAGGTGACATCTCGTATACATGAACAGGAGACATAACAACAGGGAAGATCAAGGCTGGTATCAGTTTTAGTGACTCACGTCTCATGCCTGAACTTGACAGATCATGAGACTTGATCTCCCGGGAAAGTCTTTGCTTTACCTTCTAGTTTTTTGGGGTTTTTTTAAAAAGCACAAAAATTGACACATTAAGAAATGAGAAGTCTTCACGGAAAGCTATATCAAAAGCCAGAACTTCATTTAGCCTCTCCACTTCCAGAAAAGGCTGAATTCAGGAACAAAGAGCAAGCGAGAAAGAGAGCTTAGAAATGAAAATAAGAATGTTTTCATTACCTTTTCTGCAAGCCAGCCTAGATGCCTAATCTCTCGACTTCCAGCAATCCCTGTTTTACCCAGCTGGTCTCTGACCTCTGCAATCACCCTGGGGATGAGCTCATTGACACTGGAGTGGATGGCATTGAACCAGGCCTGGGCTGTAGCTGAATCCTTACTCCTGAGCACCACGGTGTGCTTGGCATCAGGTGAATGAACTTCAATAAGTCTAGAAAAATGGGGGGGGAAAAACATTATGTTCACTCAGATACCATTAGGCAGCTAAATTTATTACCTCACTCAGTGTTAGCAGTGAGTTAAAAAGAAAGAACTAATATCAAAACCTATCACTAAAAACTTACCGTTACAGCACCTGAATAGAGTAGGATCATCTTAACTGAAGCCAGGTCTGTTGCTCGCATTACGGTAAAATCCTTGAGAAGCGGATTTGCCAGTGCTGCTGCAACTCTGCATCTGGCATGTCAGAAGGAGTTTCAAATACAAGGGCAAGAGGACCCTTCACCCCTTAGCATTCACCAACATGGCGACCACCTAGAACTGCATGGGAGATGGCTGCGGAGGAGCGAGGGATAAGCTGCTGCCTTCTTCAGCTGGATATGACAGCACACCCGGAGTTTCTCAGTGTGTTCACTTCACACATACAGAGCCAAATGAAAACCACCCTCATCCCAAATGGAGGAGTTTTCTTAGGATCGCGCTGTGGTTTCAGTGACACCACGAAGCATCAAACAGAAGCCTAGTGTAACTGGCCTTCTTCAGGAGTTACCAATGTCCTCAAGGCTCCATTTAAATCCCGCCAACAGTGGCAGCAAGAGTGTGCTACCCGCAACCATATGATTGCTGCTGGCAGGTATCTTCCAAAGTTTGCCAAACTCCTGTGGAAAGAGATGATTTTTCCCCAAAAACATGCTCACTAGACCATCCTGCAGGCTTCTACCCCACCACTGTGGTTTGAAAAGCACAGGCGAACAGTTTCCAGGAAAATGAACCCTGTCCATCGTGGTTATGGGACCTGTGCCAACACCTTTGCTAACAACAACAAAAATGCTTTGAGAGGCAGCTGCAGCTATTTCAGCTCTGTTCCCAGTGAAGTTATTAGTTATTAGTGGGGCTTTGTGTGCTCTTTATAGCTTTGTGGGCCACTTTTACTTGAACATTTGTTAAATAACCCATTAAGCAATAATCTGGCTTATCTTTAAGTAATGATTATAAAACCAAGCCCTGGTCATTGCCCATCACTCAACTCCACATCACATTTGTGCCCCTGAATGTTACCCACACTCATTCGACCTGCCTGACCTCTGGGACACACGACAACTCCTTTCTGCAGCAGAAAAGTAATTAGTTCAGTGGAATTTATTCAGGTTGAGGTTCAAGACAGTACTGTAATGCAAATATTTGTTACGCAATTACAAAATCCTGCAATTTGGAGCTTAACTAACAATTAAGAGGTTTTAATTAATTGGTTAAACTAGATCAGAATCCAGAAGAGAGGGTGACTCGATCTGTGCAGCTCTCTGGGACTGGGAGAGTCTCGTGTTTGTCCATTTTGGGAAGGGGAGTTCTCCACGTAGACACTACTCTAAAGATAGAAAAGGTCATGATTTTCCAAACTCAGCAGCTGAACTGTTCAGGGTCCTAAATCACTGTTTGTATAGCTTAAAAAGTGGGTTGATTTTTCAGACAGCACTGAGCCAACACAATAACGCATGTTTCCTCTGTAAAGCTGCTGGAGCTCAGCACTGTCTGAAGATAAAGGCTCGTATTTAGCCACTCCAGGATGCACTGGAGATTCAACCTCAGGTATCAAAAGGAAAATGTCTTGTCAGGTGAATAAGAAAACTATCTTTGTAGACAGGCGTGCGCCCCATCACACTCTCATTTTTTCTGAACTGCCAGAAAAAGCTGTCTCATAACTGTCAGTTATGATTTAGACAATTGTGTCTGATGATCATTACGATCATGCAGAGCTACCATAACCCAGTCTGTCTTTCCATCAGAAACACTGCTCTCCTGCCGCCATACGAACTTGAGTTTGAACTTGTCCTTGTAGGCAGCTATCAGTGGAAACAAACTCTACAGGCTTGGATTTTCAAAGTACATTGTGGTAATCAGTGAAACATTGCTTACTACTTACAGAGCACTTTTTGGCACAAGATCTCGTGGCATTTTACAAATGAGGTCAGCGACAGCATCCCCATTTCACCACCAAAAAACCCAGACAAGGCAGGGAACAAGCCAGGAGATGCACTCAGGATTTTCTGCACTCTACCTCTCATTTTAACACTTCTTTTAAAGACAAAATTATTTAGACAGCACAGCAGTATTGTGCTGGTTTTGAAAAATGTTAAAGCACTGTAGGGATTGTGTGAAACAACGCTCTTTACAAAGCCTGTGGTTTTCGTAAGGGAACTCCCACCTCCAAAGTCACTGCGTATCGTGCAGTAAACAAAGTGCTGAACAAGGACTATAAAGACACAGAAGAATGAGCTGCTTTTTCAGCTGCACAGGAGCAGCAGCAAACTTGTGTCATTTCTTTTTAAGTTAGAAATACAACAGGCTTTGGTTTAAAAATAAATAGAACTGAAAGACCTTCCAAACGCAACTTGCTTCCCTCAAATTTGGAAAACACTTAAAATTCTTACTTAAATCAAGTGGATTAACATACAAACAAGTATTTTGCTACTTGGGCCTTCATCAAAGTCTATTTCCCTTGATGATGGCTATTTAAGTATTTCTCCAAGAGTTCTGTCTCCTAAAATAGTGAACATTTAGACAGTTCTTTACAATTCTGTTTAAGTGTTTAAATGATGCATATTCTAACATGCACACATTCTAACATATACACATTCTACTGTGATATCAATGTATATATTCTTGTATACATATGCACACACACATACTGAGCCATGCTTGCAAAAATACTCTTAAAATTTCATACCTCAGTGACTTCTAATGGGGCTATTTTGGGGACTGCTTGTCAGTCGTCAAAGTTTGATGGTGATGCACTAACAACTGCAGAAAGTCTACCTCGTTCCCTCAACAGGAAGATTGGACACTTCTACACTTTTCAAAAGTGAGTTCAAAACTGGAATAAATGCTGTTTTAACAGCCCTGAAAATGAATCTTTTTATCAACAGCAGTGGTCCAACCCAAGGAATACATCTGCAAGTGTCATTCCTGTGCAAGCAGCTAGGTAGGGTAGCTTTTTTATTCATACATTAAGGACAAAAGTCTAAATCTTCAACTGCCTGTGAATTCTGTGACTGGCTATTTGCTATAAGATCTGGGAACTGATCTATCTTTAAGAAACTGTGCTTACAGATTTCTGATGAAGATCCAGGACTCCCGTCTCCACAGTCAACTGGGATAGAGATACTAACAGAAACTTATAATCTTCCCGGAAATCCATGGACTCCAACCGCACTCAGATGTGGAAAGCGCCACATCCCTGTGAACTCTTCCCTTTTCTGCCTTTCAGCCTATGCTGCTTCGCTTCACCAGTCCATTTGGGTGATGCTTTTTGTATAACAACTGACTGATGGCATTTCCATATTTTTTGAAAAGCAAAAAAATACCAGTGACCTTAGTAAACTCCAACACTAAAGCACTTAAACGTTTCCAGCAGTCCAGCCCAGCCATTGTAGCTTTGATTTGTTCCTTGGCTAAACTGACCACTGCTTACTGACTTCTGTTTATCTGCACTTCAGTGATAAAGTTCCCTTAATTCCCCACTGAATTGAAATATTTAGGGCAATGCCACAGCTGTGTTTATTCTCACACTCCACCACAGTTATGTAAATACTGCATATGGAGCTGTTTCTGATAAAGCCCATACCAACCCAAAGGAATTATATGTTAGCTCTAGATGGCTGCCAAGATGTGCGGCATCTCTCCAGCTTGGCAATGCATATGAATGATATCACATTTTCTCAGAGATCATTTGGCAAACCTTATAATAAAAGAGTTATTTTCTCTCTCCTTCTCAAAGAGTCCCACTGAGCCGAGGAGTGCTTCCAGCATCCCTTTCTCTATGTAAAGAACACAGGAGTGACACAAGACCCAGTGCCTCCAAATGCTGTAACCTTGCATGTAGGAGGCCAAAACTCCCTCTCTCGCTGCATCATCCAGAGCTTTTACTTTACAGAGGAGCAGAAAAAGTTGCAATCAAATGTTTGATAGACCATACTCATTCCATATTTGATAAGGCTTCTTTCTGTAGGAGTTTTCATTATCTAAGAAATACCTTTTATCAAATCTCTTGAAAGCATTTCTCCCAACAGCATTGGCTCAGGACCAAATCAGGCACTGATTTACACTTTGTGCCTTTTCCCAGGTCAGATTATGTATTCAGTGAGTGATTAAAGTGTGGAGTAAATCCCTTGAAGTTAACGATAAGCTGGAGCCAGAGTTATTCAAGTCCATCAAGCTACTTTGATTTTGTGCCGCCATAGGCAGGAACAAGACACTCTGACACTGACTCTGCAAACTTAAAAAGGGATCAAAGCCCAAACTGCTCACTCCATCTTCTCCATCATTGTCTGCACATGAAACCACAGTAAGTAATTTAGTTGATTTCTGAGTGTACAAACATAGCAGCATTTCCAGTATAAGGGGGGACTTAGAGGAAGACAATCAGAGATTAGATTTAAATAGCTGTAGGGTTTGTTATAAAATAAGTAAAAACCCTGTTCTTTTTAAATTCTACATGCAGCATCTGGAGGTGACCCAGGAATAAAATACACTAAAATTAAGCAATGGGAACTTTGGGCTTTGCTGCAGGAGGTACTTTGAAGTTGGCTGTGGCTTTGCTAGAGGTGCAGTTTTTGTGGACGAAACATTTTTTTTTTTCTCCTAGCATTAATACGCTTTCCCTCTTGCTGTGAAAGAGTTGCTTCAGGGGAGCTGTGGTCAATGTATTGACTGCACCAATCACAACATCTTCTGGTCTCGACCCCTTCAGATTGAGATGAGGGTGGAGATTCTCATGCTGCTGCATAAGTAAGAGATCACAGGCTTGGAGAAGAATTAGATGTCTTCCGAGAAGGACCACCACTCTTGCTGTTGCTGGTAGGCAGTGCTGTAGTAGGACACAAGGGAAAGAAGGGAACGTGATCCACAAGCATGGATGAAAACTAACAGGGAAAAAACGAGCAGGGCTGCTGATAGATCAGCGGATGAATTGTCATGGGAGAAGTCTCACTGGAA